TTCCTTTCCTTTCCTTTCCTTTCCTTTCCTTTCCTTTCCTTTCCTTTCCTTTCCTTTCCTTTCCTTTCCTTTCCTTTCCTTTCCTTTCCTTTCCTTTCCTTTTCTTTTTTGAGACAAGGTCTCTATTATATGGCTCTGACTGCCCTGGAACTCACTACAGAGACCAGGCTGGCCTCAGATTCACAGAGATCTGTCTGCCTCTGCCTCCTGAGTGCTGGGATTAAAGGGGGCACGCACCACCATGTTTTCTTGTGTTTGCCTCCAGAGTTCCCAAAGCAGGTAGTTACCTCCTCCTGGCAGCACGGCCCCTCCAAGTTGACCTGGAAAGCTGCAGAGTGCCTGGTCACCCCTGCCCCTCCCCCCGAGTTGATGGGAGCATCTGTCATTTGGGCAGTGACACAACCTCAGACTCCAGTCCTGGCTTCCTTCCTCGGTATCTGGCCACCGCCCACATGTCAGGATGCTTGGCTTTGCAATCCACAGTCTTCTAAGCAAAGATCCCAGTAGGGAGTCAAACAAACAAACAAACAAACAAACAAACAAACAGAAAGCCTGGTGTGTCAAACTGCTTTTGTGCTGTGAGGCTAACCCCACAATTCCCAGATCAGAGTCAACCTCACCCCCGAGTCTTGGCCACTTCCAAACTATTTTTAGCAGGTTGCTTACTTAAAGAAACCATTATGTCTGTCTGTGAGGAGCCGTCTTTGTGTCCAACTAGGGAATTTGAGAATAGGCAGTGTGCAGAATGCTATACCTAGAAACGATCCTGAGGCCAAGTGAGATGGCTCAGGAGGTAGAGGCTGGAGGATCCAGAGTTCAAGGGAAGCCTCAATAACATACATAGAGTTGGAAGCTATCAGACCCTGTCTCAAAAAACAAGCAAACAAATCAAAACAAAAAACCAAACAAAAACCCTTGAAAGTTAGAACAGATTATGAATGAATACAGGCAGGTCATGTGATGGACAGGACCTTGCCGTTTCCATGGGCACCGTCCTTGGTAGCCTCTGACTTTTCAGCCCTGCAAGTCAAGCCTTGGGGTCTCTTGGTCTGGACTGAAATCCCAGCGTCAGGGTCTCCTAGTAGACTAGTGACCGGGGCAACTGACCACTCTGCTCCTCCATTTTTCCTTTCTCTTTTTTGCTTTTTTTCTTTTTCCTTGAGGGGGTGATGGTGGCAATCCAGGCAGGAACCAGCAATCCTCCCTTGACCTGCAGAGTTCTCCGGGGCTCACAAGCATCCACCAGTATGTGTTCAACTACTATTTTTTGTTTCCATCATTAGAAAAAAAGAAAAAAGAAAAAAAAAGAAAGAAACAAGAAACAGACTGGCCCATTTACCAGATGATACCATATGTGTCCCAGTGTTATGTGAGTCAGCACAGGTTGAAATAACCAACTCAGTTGACCAGAAATGACTCTGATCTACAGCTGGGGCATAAAACAGAGAGCAGCTGTGTTAAAGCAGCTTGACAGTGTGTATCTGAAACCACTCCTAGGAGTTTAAACCCTTGCTTTTTGATACTTTGTTTCTGTAAGCCTGAGGGTAGGCCCAGGGACCTGACTGCAGTTGTGAGGGTCAGCAGGTGTGGCGCCAAAAAGATGGCTGCCAGTAGATTCTTTCCCTGCAAATATGAGTCTGGGTAAAAAGTTCTGCCGTGGTGACAGGCACTTGTTTTCCCAGTGCTGATGACATAGAAACAGACAGAACCTGGGGATTGCAGACCAGCCAACTTCGCCTCTTAGTGTCTGATCAGTGAGAAAGACCCTATATCAAAGAACAAGAAAACTGTTATAGAGTATTATTCTTGGGGAAATGTGAACAAGTGTTTGTTCACCCCAAATAAGGAACCAACCGCAGACCAAAGGAAGGATACCACCAAAGTCCAACTTGGTGAACCAGTGTGTTTTATTGGGGGTGATTTGCAGGAGTATGGATGGGGAGGGTCACTTACAGGAACAAAAAGGACTCAATGACAGCTGCATTACTTAAAACCCACCCCAATATGGGTGACAGACAGCTCACCAAAACTGGAAACCTGGAGCACACTGCGCAGCCTGCAGGCAGCTCAGCAGATTGAAGAGCATGTCTTCCGTGGAGCTCGGTTGGTTGGTCTGAGTCCTCACTGCTTATATAGGCATGTGAGGGAGGGGCCTAGTGAATTTGGTCAGTTTTAGGGATTTCCTAAAGCTACTGGGTTGTTTACTTCCTGAGTCTCAAGAAGACAAGTATAAGACTATGGCACCAAAATGCAGTTTTGGGGGAAGGGGTTATGACTGATTTTTCGGAGCTCTTCTCTACTTTCTAAGCTTTAGTCAATATCATTTATTATTTTACTTTTACAAGAAAGTGGTGTAACGGTGCTGACGTGGTGGGAAGTGAGCTTTTCAGGATTGATTTTTGAGATCGTGAATGGCAAGTTCCGCAGAGCAGGCATGGCCCACAGTTAGCTCTTCCTTGACGGGAGGCTCAGAATCTGTGGCAATGACCTCTGTCAGAAATGCCCAGTAGCAGCGTTTCAGAGGCCACCATGGTTGACTGGATGTGCGTCAGGAAAGTGGTCGACCTGTGCGCTCAGACATGAGATACGGGCTTAGCTCACAGAGCTTCTCTTTGTTCTGAGTGTTCGCTGTGGGAAGCAGGACTCTGGTGTCTTCAGGACCCCACACGTTCTTCCTCACCTGCCTGCAGCACCCCCTCAGGAAAGGCCAGAATTGTGATGAGCCCAGCCATGTGCTCTCACAGCCAACAGGGGTCCTTGGCCACTGTTATGATTCTGGTCTTAGAGCTGTTCAGGGTTTGTCGTGATGGGGCTTGGGCTTACAACTCCTAATGTGTTTCAGGTTGGTAGTAATATCTGCTGTGAAAATAGTCACTTGAGACTAACAGACACTTGCATTGTGACAGCGTCTGTACATACATGAGGAAGAGTGTGTGTGACCAGATGTCTGCCCCAGGGTATTCCAAGACTTGCTCTCACTTGTCTCTTTGCTGTCTCCCCTCAGAGTCAGATGGAATTCAGCATCTCCTCCTTATCCATCCAGGAGCCCAGCACTGCCACTATGACCAGTGATACCAGGCCCCTGGCCAAGGCTCCTCAGGGCACACAGGGTTCCAAACCTGCCCAGGGCAGCAGATCCTCTAGCCTGGATACCCTGGGACCATCTCGAAAAGAGGAGGAAGCATCGTTCTGGAAGATCAATGCTGAGCGCTCTCGGGAGGGGCCTGAGGCTGAGTTCCAGTCCCTGACACCCAGCCAGATCAAGTCCATGGAGAAGGGGGAAAAGGTTCTGCCAGCCTGCTACCGCCAGGAGCCCACCACAAAAGACAGGGAGGCCAAGCCTGTGCCACAGGAACAGCAAACCCTCCCCAGTATGAATGCAGAGCAGGAGGTACCCCAGCCGGTGCAAGCCCCTGCCAGCTTGCTGCCCAAGGCTACTACCCACACTGTGTCCCCAGAGAAGCTACCGCCTCCTGCTGCCCAGCAGGATGAAGACGATGATGACGCCCTGTTCTCAGAGCCCACACTTTCGCAGGTGAGTGATGTCGCCAAGTTCACCTCAGAAGGGTTGTTGGGGATGTTCTTTCATGGATGACCGAGGGGAGCCCACGGGATGGGACAGCACCGATGTCCCCATGGTCTCCTTCCCCTCCTCTGAGTTCAATTTCCAGAGCCCATGTTAAGAAGAAAAATCTGGGCATGGTGCAATGCTTATAACCCCAATACTGGGGAGCTGGAGACAGGTAGATCCTTGTGCTAGCTGGCCAGACAGCTTAGCCTATTTGGTTAGTTCTAGGAGAAAGATAGGTGTTGGACCATAATGGCTCAGAGACACAAGGGGAAGAGTTGAGACAGCTTTAACTCCAGAAACCTCAACGACAGGATGGCAGGAGTTGGCTATCTCCCCTCCTCCCAACCTGGTGCCAGAAAGCCGCTCCCCCATCATCAACCCTAGTAAGAATTTACTCCCCTGACAGTTATCAGGCTCCATTTCTTGTTTGACCTTATAAGGTCCCCCCCTAACCCCAACCCCTGAGTATGTAGGTGAAGCATCTTCCCACACCCCTGTCCTAGCCTATTATATGGGTCCCCCCAAACCTTGTCCTTAGCGACCCTGGCCACCTTCCCAGTGGCATAAATACCCCCTTCCCCCCGACCCCTCGCCACTAAACTGAGCCAGTTTCTCTGAAGCTGTTCCAGGGTGTGTGTTCTTTGCCTGCACACTCACCACCAATCAAGACCCTACGTGCACACACCTGTCCCTGCTAAGCTTATCTCCCTCCAATCCAGCCCGGTGCACAGTATGCCTAGCTACCCCAAGGGAGAAGAGGACACTGGCTGGCAGATAGATGTGTCTCTCCACTTTATAATGCTATTCAGAAGCAGGAGGGCGCTTGTAGAGAACCAGGTTGTTCTTTGCTTCTGGAAATGGCACACAGAGCTCCCTGGACTCTGAGGGCTTGGCATTGGCTGTGACACAGTGTCACTTGCTCTGGATTTTGTGCAGCTTTCCGGTCTGTAGCACTGAGGTAAATTGAGGTCAGGGGCCCCTGAGGCAGAAGTAGCTTCTTTCATCTGGGTCATTATAAATGAAGTGCTGTCTTTAGGTTGTGTGTGGCTGAAACAGAGGCCTGCATCTTATTTTGTCTCCCATGTCCCTCTGCAGATCAGCTCAAGTAACGTCCTCTTGAAGACAGGCTTTGATTTTCTGGACAACTGGTAAATGGTGCTACCCAGAAACACAACCAGGAGCCCCCAGCGTGGCCCACCGTGGTGTTCAGAGGAGAAAGCAGCACTGCCTGCGTATTTTCCTGTTTTCTCTACTCTTTTCTTAGTCTTTTGGAAACTAGGAAATGTTGCCAGGTTTTCCCTGTTTTTGGTAAAACCAAATAGATAAATATACTATTTTCAATGATTTGATAACAAGTTTTACACTTGGGATTTTTAAACACTAGGAATCCAGTAAGCTTTGTAAATAAAACTTCTGTTCCCAGCTCCATCCTACCTTCCCTCCAGCAAGGTTCCCTGACCAAGTCACAAAACGCAAAAAGCGATTCTTTCTCCTCTCTTTGAGGACTCCCTGGATGGATATGGGCTGTTGCCTGTCACTGTGGAAGATTCATCCTTAAAAACTGTGCTCACCTGGTACTCTTCCTTTGCGGAAGCCAGGTTTGGCATTATCTGTCCTTCCCCTACCAAACTCATAGGAAACACTGCGGGTAGGTGGCAGGTGCCCTCTGAGCTGTCCTGGTGACTTACTCAGAGCTCTCTCTGATCGCTGTCTAAAAGCAGCTGCCCGTTATATCAGATTCTCCTTGTATATAGAGCTGTAGCAGGTTCCTTGGCTCGGTGGGAATTTCCTTCAGGAAGTTATTAAAACAGGGTGGTGACAGCTGCGCTGGACATCAGGGCTCTTCTGATTCACTAAGGTTGAACCTTCCAGAATGAGGCTTCCAGGCCTGAGCATCCTTTACCCCAGTCTGGCCGGGCTGTCTTATGCTGGACACTCCTCCAGACCTGACCACATTTCAAGTGCAAGAGGCTTTCCTGATAGTTCCGGAAGCTTCCCCTTGCATCCCCGAGAGCTCACAGCAGCAAGGCAGAGTGAGGAGCTTGTGCCTCACCCGGAATTTGCTGCCCTCTGTCCTCACCACCCTGCCATGGCCCCTGGACCCCATACACCTTCAGGATGCCAAGCAGATCTGTGAGCTCAGGGTGGCATGGTCTACCCTTTGCTACCACTCCGTTCTCCTCACCTGAAGCCTTAATCTCCACGAGCCCTCCTCCCAGCGCCTGGTTTCATTACTGAAAGTGTAGCCTCCTTAATGTCTGAAGTAGCTTCTGGAATGTTTTATTTAGCTCCAAGGTAAAGCACATGGCAACTCCCCAGCCATTATCCCCTCGCCTAAGAAGACATGCCAAAGCTGTACTTAGCCAATATTGATGTGATACCTGCCAATTAGCTTTTGTCCTGAACCTCCCTCGGTCCCCGGTGCTCCAGGTTTGCCTTCCTCCAGCAACTTTTGAGGAGTCATCTTTCCGCACTGTTTGTAGGGGAATTGATACTGAGGAAGATTTGAAGCTTGTGCAACAATGTTTCCCTTCCCCATGAGTCTATGCTCCCATAGCACTGCTGTAGCAGGAGGAGACTCTCGGCTGAGTGTAGACAACCTCTGTGACTGGCCCCATGGGTGACTCTCACAGTGGTGTTTGCAAGGAGTCCTCTGAAGAGCAGGTGGAAGTCACGGATAGGGACTCCAGGAAGGCTCCTAAAGGACCCGCCTGACCTGGGGGTTGTCCTTGTACCTGGGCAGAGTCCACACCACGCTGGCTTCTTGGTCTCCCCCAGGGACTATGTGGCAGTGACCAGGAAATCAGAACTGTATTTTCCGTTTTTCCTTCCTCCATACATCCTGATGAAGTACATTCATTTTTCTTCTCTGAAGCACATTCTTTGGCCGAAGCTAGTGTATGATGCTGTACTCCACCACATGCCCACACTTAGCTCCTGGGAGGCAGCTCCAGGGCTCCGTGTCTTGCTCTTGGTGGCTGTGTCCAACAGAAGCTCTCAGGAACCCAGGCTCTGCGTGTCTGGTTTGTCCCTGAATCCCAGCCCTCTGGGTTGGATCCGATCCTGTCAGGAGCAGTGGAGTCTGCCTCCTGGCCAGGTGCACTCCTCATGCCAGTGTGGGAGTGGCCTTCCATTCTTCACTCTGCCCTCTCCTTTGATACATACTTTCGAAATCGTAAATTCTTACTGACAGCTTGTAATTTGGTCCTATTTTATACTCAAGCCTTTAATAAAGCCATTTTAAAAATGAGAGTCAGGTCTGTTTCATTTTCTGCTGTGTTCGGGAAGAGAATCAGAGTGCTGGCAGTTTAATGCCAAGTTCTGTTTCCTAAGAAGATGCAAAGAAATATTTGCTCACCCTAGACAGGTCACTAGTAGACCAAAGAGAGGAGTCTATCCAATTGTACTTAGTGAGCCAGTGAGTGTATGGATGACTAACCAAAGTGGGCTGCAACCAGGAGGTCCCTTCTCAATATGGTGGATTATCTTGGACCTCCATCACTGAGAAGTCCCCAAGTCAACCTCTCCCTCTATATTCTAGCTCTACCCACGCTCACATGCATCAGGAGGGAGTGACACTGGAACCTCAGTTTGGCCCTTTGACATGACCTCATATCTAGAGGTCATGTGTTCTAGACCTGTGGGTCATGGTCTGCACACAGCAACCTTGGTATGTGTCAGGTCTGGAGGAGATGGTTCCACTACAACATGCAGTAAAGAGACTCACACCGGTGGGAGGCAGCCTGCCAGAGTCAACACCATCCCTTCTTCAGTGGGTGGAGGTGATGACCCAGTGTATCTGCCCCACAGATGACTCTGTCCTAGAAATGTAACCAGAACACCAGACTTCACGCTGCCCCTCACCACAGATCCCTGCGGGCAGAGGCGGGGATGAATCTTGAAGCTGAGTTTTGTCCCGAGAGCCAGGGATCCCAGAAGGCAGTGTGCCAGCAGGCTTTGGAGGGGCTGAGACCATCAATTGTTGAGTTTCACCTGTTGGTCAGGTGGTCAGCCACGGCTCTGAGGCTCACGTGAGGAAGCTTCTCTCATTGTATCTCCTGCACTTGGTCCTAATTATTGTCTCTGTGCAAACGCTACTGGGATCGCACACTCCCACAGCCGATGAGCCTTGCTTTCCTCTTAAGGCTGCACTCGGGGTGAACGCAGAGAAGCAAACCATGCACGAGCAGTGTGCACACACTGAGCTATCGGCAGTGTATAGATACACATTGCCTCTTACCGTATGAGAACAAATGTGTCCCCATCTGTCACTGTGCCCTTTCAGGGGGAACATAGGGCCCTCAGATGACAGGAGCTAGAGACAGACTTCCCAAAGAGAGTGCACTGACCCCAGAACAGATGCTGAATTCCTCCATGCCCCCTGCCGAGTGAGTACAGTTGCGGTGAATTTTTGTTTTGGAGTGGAAGAAATTCAATATCTAACCTAGTTCATTAGTCTGATCCTGCTTGTCGGCGCGTGACAAATTGCCTAGTGCAGATGGGGACATTCCAGATGTCATTTGTTTTTTTTTTTTAAAACAAAGTTTCTCTGTGTAGAAACAGTCTGTCATGGAGCTTCATCTATAGACCAGGCTAGACTATATAGAGCCTTCAGCTCAAGAGATCCACCTGACCTCTGCCTCCCAAGTGCCAAGCTTAAGGGTGTGTACCATTGCTGGCTGGCCAGATGTCACTTTTCAAATAAACTTTCATCGATGCAAAATACAGCTTTTACCTTAAATGGAATAAGATAGCCCTCTCTTCTACCTCCAGGGTCCTGCCTACCTCCCACTAGGTCTTGTCAGCTTTACCTCTCTGATCCCGTTTCAGACCCTACTGTCTGCCTGCCTTCTGTAAGCCTCCTTGGCTGCAGGCTCCCTGCATGGGTTGCCTCTCCTGCCATCCTGTTCTCTGGTTCTCAAGCAAGGACTCTCTAGAGGGATATCAGGTTCCACCCTCAAACTGCCCCTCCAAGCCTACTGGCTCTTCCTGAGAAAGTGCTCGTGCCTTGAAGCCATGGGGAACAGGTACAGTATAGAGATGCCCCACCCGACCCTTGGGCAGCTGGAGGGGCTCATGGGAGAGTGTGGTCTTCTGCCCCTGGACTCCAGCTCTGCCTGGTTTTCTTGCTTGTCACAAACTTCTGAGATAGCAAGGCTTCGTGGCTCCCCAGAAGCAAGCCGAGCTGTCCGTCTCTCTGGGAACCATAGTGTCAGCCTCCCCTGCATCGAAGCAGCCAGAGCTGACTTGGCATTCTGTGATCAATGCAGTCCATGGGTCTGTGTTTCTGGAATGCTTGCTTCCTCTTCCCTTTGGATCAGTGAGCTGGCTCTTGAGATCTGGCCCTGTCGCTCTGAACTGCCACTTGGGAGAGTATGTCATCCCATGAACCTTCTGCTTTCTGGAACCTCAGCGCTCACTAAGGTCCTCTTCAGGCCCTGGGTTATATCCTCACTGGGTGACATGTGAGTTATTCAATGGCCCATAGAAGAGTTTTGGTTTCAAGTACTGCTTCTCTGTAAGTCACCTGGGCAACACTCAGCTTCCCTTCCCTGGGCTCCTTACCTGTGGTCTGAAACAGAAGCTCTGTCATCCTATGAATCTCCTGCTTTCTGGAATCTCAAAGCTCACCAAAGCCCTCTTCAGGCCCTGGGTTATATGCTCACTGGGTGACATGTGAGTTATTCAATGACGTGACAGGGATAACAAGCAGAGAAATGAAACTAAGAGGCAAGCACAGGGACAATACACACCAGGACTCATGACAACATGAGTGGCCTGGCATTGAGGCATCCTGACATCAGGTTCCCTGGAGCCCTTCTTGCCTTGGGACTCTGTGACCCCCATGCTGCTACCCTTCAGAGTCACGTACAGCATCGCTGCAGCAAGCCTTTCACAGCCAACAACGCAAGTGAGAAACACAGATTGCTGTTGAGGACATAGCCGGACAAAACTCGCCAGGACCCTGTCACCAGCCAGCTGGGTCTCTTCTCGGCAAATTGCGCTCAGCCTCCAAACATCACTGGTGACTCACACATCTATTTTTGAATTTTCTAGATTGGATTTTTAACCCAAAGCAACTGGCAGCAGTATCTGTTCTAGGTTTAGAATGACCAAGTCATGTTATACGTCAAGGTTGCCCTCTGGTTATGATAAGAAGCCCCTTTGCCTGTTCATCCACTGGAATGTGAGCTCCTTGGGCCGAGGTCTCAAAAGGTGTTCCACATGGTACCTCTTTGCAGGATTGTTGAAGGCTCTCAGGAGTTCCCATCATCCTCCTGTGTGGTAGAGATTTGTCGGGCCATGGCCACAGCAGGAGATGGGAAGGGTAGGAAGGAAGTGTCTCCACTTCCATTCGAGGAGTACAGAGGTACCTGGGCTCCTCTGGTTCACATGGATGCTCAGAGCAGTGTGGTGTGTGATGGAGAGGCAAGACACCACTCCTAAAAAGGTGTTAGGACATGAGAGTCCCACTCAGAGGGGTGGAGTCCATAGCGGAGGAAAATGCCTTTCTGTGTTCCCCTCTCGACCCAGCTCTGGTGGTTCAGTTTAAACTGAAAAATGCTCTACTGTTTACTTTGGAACCTCCTAGGGACCAGTCAGCCTGTGTAAGACTCGATGTCCATCAAGGGTGAAGCATGCTGTTCTCTATGGTGGAAGCCACAGCTGCTAGCTCGCCTGCTGCATCCAGGCCTCAGCGGACCCTGAGCTGCCTCCCCCTGGAAGCTGAGTGTGTATTGAAATGGGCAGGGTGAGGTCAGGCCTGGCTAGGCTCTTGGCGGGAGAAGTGGAGTGGAACACAGTCCCTACAGGGCAGAATCACCAGGTCACTAGACCCAGAAGACTCTGCATGAGGCAAGCAACAGAAGCAGTGTGCTGAGAAAGGACTCATCAGAATTGGGGTTTGAGGGCTGGTCCTGACCAGCAGATGATCAGTCCATTCTCTGCAGCTCAAGGGACAGGGGCAGGCAGGGTCACCTGCAACCCTCAGGGGTGTCAGAGAACCTGAGTTCAAATGAAAGGGCCTGTGAGTTCTTGCCTGTCACAGTTCCCAGAGGATGGGACCCAATTCTCACAGGGTTTCTTTACTGGTTCTGGCAAGAGTGCAGATATTTCACAGAGACACTTGTGTCCCCCCACCCCTACCCTTTGTCTATCGGACTATTGAAACAATGGGTGTCAAAGAATTGGAATTAACCCCAAGAGTCAGGATGCTGAGCAGAGGGAAAAACTGAACCCCGGTGTTAGTCAGAGCTGGAGCTTTTCTCTCAGACAGATTTCACACCGTTCTGATAAACTGTCAGATCACCTTGCAAGAAGAGACTGGAGCTGAGACTATCCGGGGTGGGTCAGTGACGAGCTGGACCACACCTTGATCAAGACGACTTAGCTCTTGCACTGGCTTTAAACCTAAACCTCACATTAGTTTTCCAAAGATAGACCTGGCCGCTGGAACTCTTTATTTGTTCCTCTTCCAACATGGCCAATGGTGATTAAATTCAGATGCTTTTCACTATGACTTGCCTGTGTCGCTGGCAACGGAGGATGGTAGCAGATCCTGTCTTTTAGGCCTGCTAAACCTAGTAACAGAGTTAAGTAAGGAGGACCCAGAATTACAAGGGCTCCACCCTCAGAGGATGATGCCAACTCACCCAGCGTGGGAAGCTGAATTTCCTGGCCTCAAACAGCCTGTGCCTGAATTTCTGCCATGTCCTGAAGAGCAGAGAAAGAGAAGCTTTTGTAGGGAAAAACAACAAACCACCCCTAAGTATCTAGGAGCCAGCGGCACCAGGGGTAAACCCTCTACTGTTGGTGGCCTTTTTCTCCCCCAGTAAATAACAAGGCCCCGGGCTTTGGGCAGCAGTCACCTCTTGGTGTCAAAACTGGGCCAGATGCACCTAGAAACAGGAGGTTGTACATGCCATGCCAGCTGGCTCTGCTCAGAGATCCCCGAAGCCAGAGATGATTGTAATGGGGTGTCATGTCTGGTCCAGCGGCTCGGGGAGCGCACAGTACTTTGTAGGCACATGGGTTATACAGCTGGACCTCCCTGGCTTGCTTTCCTCTTGGCTGTGATGCAGGACAGGCAGGGTGAACACGGTTCTGTCCTTAACCACGTCAAAGGTCCATGTGGAAACAGGCAGGCCTGTGACCTAGAACTTGAGAAGGCTTGTGACAGCCAGGCCCTGGGTATCATCCGCAAAGACAGATCAAAACTGTTATGGGAATTGTCAAGGTCAATCAATCTGTGC